CACCCACCCAGGCACGGCTCCTGCCTGCCCCCCTCCTCAGGGGAACCACACAGCCCGTGCCCAGGGGAAGCCTGCACCGAGGGAGTTTTCAAGCTGCCTCAGTGATGAGGTGACATGACAGCGAAGGCCTGGAGGGGAACAGCCAAAGCATCAGCCTGCCTGGCAGGTCCCGCTCCTCCCCGCCTGGCTCGAATGCCCCAGGAAGGCCACAGAACTGTTCTGCTGCATGCTGGCCCCACATCCCTCCTGTGGCACCTCTCACTCTGCACAAGGTTGGGCGTGTGTTGTCCTTCTGAGGGGACTTGCACCTCCTGGAGGTGGGCTCCGTCCGGGTCTTCTCCTACCAGAATGCCCGCTCCACCAGGGCAGGGCTCACTCTGTTCACCGCTTGTCCCCTGTGTCAGCAGGTGTTCTGCGAGTGGTACTGAAGAGTCACGGCGCATGAGGAAGGGGTGGGAACTGCCTGTCCTTCCCAGGTGGCTCCCAGTGGCAGGAAGCTCACGCTGACCAGCCCCTCTGGCCTGATGAGATCCGTCCGACCCATGAGTGACTGTGCATTGAGCCCTCTGCCCTGCTCAATCATCAGGCCAGGAGACATTGGAGACGTGTCCAGCTCACGGTCCTCCACCTGGCTGCTCTCTCCAGCAGCCTCCCCTGGACCCTCACATGGTAGCTGAGCTCCAGCCGGCAGGACACTGGGGCAGGACACGACTTCCACAGGCCCCACTGGCTGAGGCAGCTGTAGGGATCCCGGAGTCACTGTCCCTCCTCCCACACATGCAAGGAGGCGAGGAGTCCCTGGCAGCTCCTGCCACTGCTGAGAGGAGCGAGTCCCTGGGAGGCGTCATCAGAGGAGTGACAGGACCCCAGCCAACTGCGTGGAGCAGTCAGTGGGCCTCCTCCCGACACTTGCTGACCTCTTGATGGCCGATTGGGATGGAGCCCCACCCCAGGTACCGCCCCTACCCGGGGACCTGCTCCTCCAAGTGACCAGTGAGCACATGCTCATGGTCGACCCAGCAGTCTCAGGGAGGAGGCACCAGGGCTCCCTCCCTCCCTCCTGCAGGCCCCTCACTCAGCCTCTGTCCCAGTCCTGGGACTTGATTTCCCATGCAGATGGGGATGGCCATTCCCATGGGGATGGCCACTTGGGTGAAGGAGAGGGAAGGCTGGAGAGCAAGCCTGGATGGTCTCATCCTGAGATGCAGGGTCCTGCTGGCTAGTGGCAGTGCTGGCCTGGGCAGGAGGAGGGTGGCACTTCAGGCCCCACCAGGTCAACGGGCTCCTTCCTCCTCACTCCTGAGGCTGTCTGAGCACAGCTCCCAGGGAGAGCCCCCCTGCCTCTATCCCACTCCTCGGGCCTTCTCTAGTGCACACCCATTCTGGATCCATCTGAACAGCCTGAAACAGAGGTTGGATGGAGGAAGCAAAGCTTCACGGAGCAAGTCCTTGAGGTTCATCCACCCAGCCAAGGAGACGGTGGTCCCAGGATGCTATGGGGAGCTGTCCTGGTTCCTGGGGTGCGTCCAGTTCCACCCTGCAGCACAGGGAGGGCACTGGCATCTAGAGGCTAAGACCCAGGCTCCATGTGCCTGAGAAGCCAACTGTCCTGGGTGCCCTGACATCTGAGGCTGACCTGGAGAGAGCCAGAGAGGCACTGGGCTGGCTAGTGGCTTCGATAGAGACCTGACAGCAAGAAGCCCACCCAGGATTGCAGCCAAAGAGGCCAGCCCACAGGTGGCCCTTGCTGGGTTCTTGGGAGACAGGGAAGCATAAGGGTTCAAAGCCTGGGCTTGGGCTTTGTTCTGGGTCCAAACCTTGTTTCTGTCACTTTCTCTCTGTGGGTGCTTTTTTCTCTAGGAGATGCAGTTGTCCTGTCTGTAGAGTGGGTTGCCCTGGTGGCCCCGAGGATGAGAGAGAGCCGGCCTCCCTCCCCGCCTGGCAGCGATGGCTAGCGACTGGCTTCTAGCAACGCTGCAGGGGCTAGGCACACAGACTTTAGCTCCCTTCCTGCTCTTGATTCATTCCTTTTCCCTGGGCCAGTGTCTAGGGGACATGGAATCTTCCAGTGGTGATACCACTGTATTCTTCAGAGTAACTGCAAAAAACTAATTCACTGGGGAACACCTTAATGAAGGGCATAGGTTTTCTTAGGGTGTCTGCATTGTACCATCCAGAGGCCTAGGGGGCCACCAGGAGCCTTGGAGCCACTTTATCCTGCAGTTCTACGAGTTTGTGAATCCATATCACTACAGGGCCACCCCTGGGTCCAGAACCAGCAAAAGGCTCCCAGTGGGGACAACAGTGTGTGTGGTCCCACAGCACCCACCACCAGGGGGCGCAGCTCCATTTCTCAAGGAGGCAGAGAGAGGCAGAATCTGCTGCTAAGGGAGGGGCCAGGCTGAGCTTGCTGCAGGTGTGAGCAGAGCTAAGGGCACCTGGAGGGGTGTGTCCCTGCAGGCGAGAGTGTCAATGACAGGGCCCTTCCCTTCAGCTGGGCCATCTGCCCTTGTCCCTGTTCCCTCACATACCTCATGACTAAGGGGACAACACCCAGACAAAAGGCTGTGCAGAGAGGCCAGGCTGCACAGCCTCACAACTGGCAAGGGGGAGTGAGGACCTCGCCAGGCTCCCCTGGGCCATCGCGAGGTCCTACAATTGACCAGCAGAGGGGTGGCAGGTGGAGGGGCCAGAGCCCCCTCTCCCCCTGCCCAGCATGGCTGGCCATCCTATCCCCTCCTTCTGGCCTCTGGAGGCCACTGTCATTTCCTTCTGGGGGGAGTTAGAAAGGAGCTTGGGTGGAGCCCTCAGTCAACCGAGATGGGATTTTCCTGAACATGGCTGGCCTCTAGAGGAATGGTATCCAGTCTTAGGAAAGTTTCTCACACACGCCCCAAAGAGCTGGGGCGTTCCAGCCTATAGCTGCACCCCAAGTCTGGGCTGCAAGGGGCCTGGACTGCTGCACCAACCCAGGACACATCCGGCCACCTGCACTTGACCTCAGACACCGTCTAAATGCTGTCCTCATGGCCTCATTTAGTCCTTATACTAGCTCTGCAGGGCACTCTATCATGGTCCACATCGACAGAGAAGGAAGCTGAGGCTCAGAGAGGACCTCAGTGGCTCTGGAAAGGGGGCTTGGCTTCTCCTATGTGTGCTGTGTGGCTGAATGAACAGGGAAAGCGCAAGCTGGAATTTGGCTCTCCAGACAGAGGAGAGTGAGGACACAGTGCGGGCTTGTCTTTTAGGTTTCCCAGGCACCTACTCTTAGAGACAGGGAGAAAAAAACACCTGCCACAACAGGCCTCCCAGCAGGAATCCAGCAGTTTTGCAGAGCAGGGAAAGTGACAGACACGCTCATGAGCAAGCCTTACAGAGGCCAGCAAGGGCAGCAAGGAAGGATGTGCAGGAGGAGGGGGCAAGGAGCCCTCACCAAAGGCCAGAGCACTCCGGTAGCAAAGGTTGGAAACAGCAGGGGTGAGAACTCCTCCCTGGGACAGACCGGAGGTGCAGGAAGATGTGGGTGTCCAGGGAAGGGGTGCCTCCCGGGACGCATGGGGTGTGATGCGAGTAGAAAGAAACCATGGGCAACAGCCTGTGTTCCAAGGCTCATGTGAAAGTCGCCTTGCCTTGATGTGGCTTCTCTCCCAGCTACCCTGAGAGCTCGGCTTTGCAGAAATAAGGTCTTCAGAGGCAGAAGGGCCTCTAAAAGAAACGCCCTGCTTGGTCATGGCTCATGTGAAAGAAGCAAGGCCTGGCCTGGGTCTTGGTCCAGCTCCATGGTCCTGCCTCCAAACCTGCCCAGGCCCTGGCACGTGCAGGACCCATTAGCTGTGTCCCCCTGCTGTCCACCTCCCACCCCCAGCATCCTCCCGAGGATGGAGCACACCCTGTCTGTCTCTTCCCAAACCCAGCTGCCTACAGAAGGAAGCGGCCCAGAGAAAGGACCAGCAAGGGGAGAGCCCTGTGCTGGTCCTGCAGGACACAGTGAGGAGACGGCTTCTGGTGTGCCTTGTGAGGGTCCCCCAGTTTGATTTCTTCTTAGTGGGGGCTTGGGGTTCTGGGAGGTTGACGTCTGCCCCTTGCAGGGCATGTGTCAGTTTCTGCTGCCTGCTCCGCATGTACATGCTCAACACCAAGTGCAACTGTGACCCCTGACTATGGATAGGAAGAGGGAGGCACAGAGAGGTCAAGTGGCTCTCCCAAGGTCACTCGGTTAGGTGGTAGGGCTGGGGTTTAAGCCCAGGAAATCTGCCCGTTATTAGTAAGGACCAACACACCTACCAGAGCTATCACCTAGGTAGCGCCTCCTGGGGCTTTACCTCCGCACAGCATGGTGGCCACAGACTTGGGTGCTCTCCAGTCACTCCTTGCAGAGGAGTAGACCTGGGTGCAGCAGGAACGGGGTGAGAGCTCTTCAGATTCTCTCCAACCCTAGGGGGCCAGAGCCAAGCTTCCCCCCCTCTCCCCGATTCCCGCGCCGTTCTGGGCTTCGGTTTCCCAATGCCTCGGCCTCTGCCCTGCTGGCTCCCCTGCTCTCGCAAGTGGGAGGGCGGAGGGGTCGCTGTGGGGAGGGGTCGTTGGCAACGCCGGAGCCCTCTCCCTCCCTCCCTCCAGAGTGACGCCCTTGAAGTTCAGCGGGAGGTGGATGCTGCGTGGGGAGGGTCGGTGCTGCGTCTCGGTCACCGCGAGGCCAGCGCCGCAGGGTGGCGAAGCCCTGCGGTGGCCTGGGGAAGGACCACGTGCTCCTCGTAGTTGTGCGGGAGCCTCCGGGACGAGGGGAGCGCCCGCCCGGGGCGGGGGCAGGGAGGGCGCGCCGAGGGAGGCAGGTCTGGCAGGAGGGCTGGGGTGGGGGAGGCCGAGAGCGCGCGGACAAAGGAGGCGGCCGGCAGCCCAGCTGTTTTGAAAAATGCTTCCTGTTTCTTTAGAGGCGCTCGCGGCCCCGCGGCGGGCTGGGGCGGCGGCGGGAGCTGCCTCCTCTCCGGGCGGCGCTCACTGATCTCGCGAACTGGCTTCTGTATAAACCGAGGCTAAACAAACACAGACGGAGCGCAGCGGGCGTTCAGCAGAAGGCCGGCCAGGCGGCAGCGGCTCGGGAGGACACCCCGAGCGCTCGGGAGCGCACGGCGCGGCGGCCCCGCGGAGCCGGCGGCGCAGCTGCCCGGCGAGGGGGCGGGGGCGGGGGCGGGGGAGGGGGAGGGGGAGGGGGAGCGCGACCGACTCCGCGGCGCGGAGCGGCGCCGGGCAGAGCCGCGCGGCGTGCAGGCGAGCGCAGCGGGCGCGCGTCCCGGGCACCCCACGCCGCTGTCTCGCGCGCTGTCCGCACCATGAAGCACATCCCGGTCCTCGAGGACGGGCCGTGGAAGACCGTGTGCGTGAAGGAGCTGAACGGCCTCAAGAAGCTGAAGCGGAAAGGCAAGGAGCCGGCGCGGCGCGCGAATGGCTGTAAAACTTTCCGATTGGACTTGGAAGCTCCCGAGCCTCGCGCCGCCGCCACCCTCGGGCTTCGGGACAGGACCCAGAGGCTACAGCCCGTCCCGGTCTCGGCCCCGGTGCCAGCCCCAGTGGCGCCGGCTGTTCCCCCAGGTGGGGGCGCGGATACTGGCGGGGACCGCGGGGGCGCCCGAGCGCCGGAGGTCTCTGACGCGCGGAAACGCGGCTTCGCTCTGGGCGCAGTGGGGCCGGGACTCCCCACGCCGCCGCCGCCTCCAGCACCCCAGGGCCAGGCACTTGGGGGTCCCGAGGCACAGCCTTTTCGGGAGCCCGGCCTGCGTCCCCGCATCTTGCTGTGCGCACCTCCTGCGCGCCCGGCACTGTCTGCACCCCCAGCGCCCCCAGTGCCCTCGGCGCCCGCGGACTCCTCGGTGCGTCCTGCGCCCCCCACGCGCCCGGGGGAAAGTTCCTACTCGACAATTTCACACGTAATTTACAATAACCACCCAGATTCTTCTGCGTCGCCTAGGAAACGGCCGGGCGAAGCGACCGCCGCCTCCTCGGAGATCAAAGCCCTGCAGCAGACCCGGAGGCTCCTGGCGAACGCCCGGGAGCGGACGCGGGTGCACACCATCAGCGCAGCCTTCGAAGCGCTTAGGAAGCAGGTACCCGCTCTTCCTCATGCCGCAGGGCGCCCGGGACCCTGAGGACCCTTGCGGGAGTGGGCCGGTGGGGGGCCGAGTGTTGCTGGCAGGGAGGGGGTGTGTTTGAACGACAGCTGTTCCGGAGCCCAGCCAGGCTTGGGCAATCAGCGTTTGTGCGGATCTTAGTTCACAAAGTGGAGGTTGGAGATCTCTGGCCCTGCAGGTCCTGGCTCCCTGGAGACCCTATCTCTGGGGCTGACTTCAGCCCACACAGTGTGATCACTTACATGAGCGAATATGTGTCTCCCGGAATCACCTGGCTCTGGGGAACAGAGTTGGGGAATACCGGAATCTTTCTCTGGCTGGGCAGGGGAGGAGGACCCTTTCCCTCTGGGAAGCTGGGTGGTTGGGATCTTGGTCCTTGGTTGGTGGCCACCAGGCCCAGAGCAGTGTGGGGTATGGTCATGGGTTGCTGAGGAACTTGCTAGCCCTGCTTCAATCCCCAGCTCTCAGCAGAAATGCCCTGTGCCCAGGGCTTGTGTCCGGGCCTGGCACCTTTGCCTGGCACCCCTAGGACCCTCCCCAGGGGCGGCTTCAGGCACTGCTGGGGGGAACCTTCCAGGAGTTTCCTCCCACAGCTGCCCTGCATCTCCTGGAAGAGCTGGGCTTCCCCCGGAGGCACTGGCTGGCTGCAGGTTCTCTCCAGGGATCTTGGGAGCTAGCTGGGGGTGAGTCTAGGGCATGGGGGCAGTCCTCAATGGACAGTGTTCTTAAGAGGCGAGGAGATCTTAACCCAGCATTGCCCACAGAGGAGGATGGTTTACAATCCCACATTTCCACTTTGGACCAAGCAGATACTGCCCTGGGCCTCCAGGCTTCTCACTTTCTTAGAGAGAAGGGGGATGTAGAAAAGCGGGGTTAAGTCTCCCCCACACCATCGTGGTCCTGGGAAGTGCTGGGGTGGACTTGATGGGTGAGGTTTTTTGCTTGCTCTGAATCTGATGTGCTGTTTGATTCTGGGAAAGTTATTCAACCTGTCTGGACTTTAGCCAACCACAAAACATTTCAGAAACATCTTTTGGGGTCATACTCTCCTCTTCCTCCTGTGGGTAGGGTGGGGCAGTGGTGCCTGCGTTGGTCCATGGGAAGGACACTGAACCTTCCCAGAGAAAGGAGGCTCTGTGGTTTCTGAACCAGAGAGTCTTATTTGAGTTCATAGGAGATGTTTGGTCAGTGAGTTGGGTGGGAGTCAGGTGGCTGTCACAGACCAGGCGGGGCCAGTGCCTGTAGCACACCAGCTGGGACCCTGGGCAATGGCCAGTGGAGCTGTCAGCCCAGTCCTGGGCTCCGTGCCTGAGTGCCTGGGTAGAATAGCAGCTTGGGGTGGCCTGCGGTCCATACCCCTGGGAGGGTGGGGCTGCCCCCTGCTCACCTGCCCCCCTTGGGGCTAGGACACCCCCCCTGAGCCAGACGCTGTGTGTCCAGAATCTCATCCCTGGGGGAAAGTGAGTGGGTGCCCCGAGGCCCTCCCGCCCCCCACCGCCTTCTGCTTTCCAGGAGAGGACAGATGCTCTCGGGTGCCTGCTGCACCTCATCCGACCTGTGCTTTCACGTCTTTCGACAGTGAATTCCATCTTATTTGATTTTTTTTTTTTTTTTTTTGTACTGGGGATTGAACCCAGGGGCTCTCCACCACTGAGCTACCTACCCAGTCCTTTATATTTTTTATTTTTGAGTCAGGGTCTCACTAAGGTGCTGAGGCTGACCTTGAACTTGTGATCCTCCTGCCTCAGCCTCCTGAGTTGCTGGGATCCCAGGCGTAGGCCATTATCCATGGCTACCATCTTGTTTGATCTCACTATTACTGTCAGGCTCGGATCAACCCATTTTATGTAAAGGAAAGCTGAGGCCAGGAGAAGGGAGGAGACTTGTCTGAGGCCACCTGGTGGGTTAGAGGAGACAGCAGTGGTCTCTGGAATGCCCCTGGGGCCAGCTCTCAGTGCCGTGGCATCGTGGCATGGGCGGACGGTGCTAGGCTGACTGACAGTGTGAGCCTGGCCTCTCACTCCAGCCCTCATGGGGAGGCTCTGTGGGAGGGTCAGTTTCAGGGTGTCAGAAGGCCAGCCATGCCCTCTCAGGGCAAGTGAGTGTGTGCACACATTGTAGTCAGGCACAACCTGTGCACAATTCATCACGAATCCAAAGTACATGCCGACAGTGGCGGCAGCACCTGCTCCAGCCCTTTGCTGTTTGCTGCCACCATTCTGTCCCTTCCCTAGAAAGGCTGCTTAGCAGCAGTGGACACCTGCCCATGGTCTGAGGAGGGCATGTCCCTACCATGCTAGCACTGGCCTGATGAGGAGGGCCCTGGGCCTCAGAGGAGCTCCTTCCTCAAGTGGCCTCAGTCTCCCATCTATAACGGGCACTCACCACCCTGCCCGTCCAGTGGGCAGGGTACTTGGATGTAGGCCCAGGCCCCAGTGTCGGAAATGGACCCGGGAAGCTGGGAAGGCTGGAGGTGGCTCTGCTGGAACTGGGGCATTGGTTGATGAGGGCCCCCCCTGGGCTCGGGCTGGGGCTCCTTTCCCTGCATGGTTTCCTGGAACAGTGGAAAGAGCACTGGTCTGGGAGTCCAGGTGGGTTTGGAGCTGGCCTCCACCACTCTCTCCGCTGAGGGAAAGTTGCTTTCCCTCTCTGAGCCTCATTTGCTGAATGGTGCAAAGATTTACCTCATCCACAGCTTTTCTGCAAAGAGCGGGTTAATCAGGAGGGGCAGAGGGGCAGGGAGAGCGCATTCCTCCGCGTTTGCAAGCTCCGGGCTGGCAGGGCTGGTGTCACCCTGCAGCAGGAGTCCCTCAGTCACCTTGCTGACAGCAGTGGAGACCACCCATCCTGAGATGCTCGCCCCACTGCCCCAGTGAGCGCCTTACTGTGCGAGTCACTTAAGTCACTTGCCCCGCTGTCCCGCACCCCACCCTGTGTCCCCCTCACCTGGTGACCTGAGGCCAGTAAGCTTCTGTGAGCCTTTGGCCTCTGCAGTGGCCTGGCCCCACCTTGACATGCCACTTTTCACACTCCAATGTGGGGCCTCCATGGCGCCACACAGGGCGGCCTGCAGAGCCCGTGCTACTGGCCTGCAGGGGGATCCACCTCGGCCCCTGAGCTGCTCCAGCATCCTGCTCTTGCCACTCTGCTCCTCCGTCTGCCCGAGGCCTGGGTGCTGTCCACCCTTAGCCTAAGGAGGCCGGACAGGATTTGCTTCCCATCCAACAGGAAGAGCGCCTGTGCGGGGGCTGCAGGTAGACTGTAGGAGGGGGTGGCCAGGGTGGCAGGTGGCAGGCACGTGTGGTCAGTCCATGCCCCCGTGAAGGCCATGTGTGCACAGCTGGGCTGGTGCAGTGCTCCAGCCAAGTGGGACAGTGGAGGAAAGCCTAGCCTTACTGGGCAGGGGCGGGAGGGCCAGGGCCTGAGCCTCCTGAGCACTTGGCCTGTGTGTGGATGTCCATTCTCCCTCACAGAGGAATGACAGCAAAGGCTGACAGCCATGACCCTCAGGAGGTGCCTCTGTCACTAAGGAGGAGCCGAGCCAGTGCCCAGGCGACTTCCCCTGTGCTCCTGGAGTCTCCAGGGGTTCTCACCGAGTGGACGCAGGGTGGGACCACAGGGGGCCTGAGGAGAGTGGCCCCCGCTTAGCACCTCCCTCACTTCTCAGTCCCACAGGGGGAAGGGGGACACCCCTTCAGGCAGTGGGGGACAGGCCTGCTTGCAGGGGCTCCACAGATGGGTGAGAGATGGGGTCCCCCCGTCCGTGTCTGCTTGCCAGGGGGTTGCTTGCCGAGCCTCTCTCCATGGGTGCCCTCCAGGATTATTATTGCCTGTCAACGGCTGCCTGTCCTCTGTCTGGAGGAACACTTACAGAGCAGACACAAGTGACCAGCATCTGGCCCCAGGGCGGTCTGGCCCCGTCTGTGGCCCTCAACCAGGATGCCCTGGATTAGTGGCTGTTGTTGTGGCCTTGTGGCCATGGGGGAGGTTGACGACGGACATGCTAAAGGTCTTTCACAGACAGGGACCTTGAGGGTTCTGAGTAGGGCACTTCACCCCAGGGACTGATGTGCGGGGACACTAGGTACTGGTGGTGTCCTAGGTCGCCTAGTGTCCGGGGGCGTAGCACTCTGGGAATGTTGCCGCCCTGGGCAGGTCCCTGCTCTGGGTTCAGGTCAGACAAGCTTCGGGACCCTGCCAGCCTCATCTGATGACCTGGGCCCCACATGTCATCTGTTTCCTTTGTGCGGATGGGACTTCTGTCTTCATCTGGGGGCATTTTTTTTCTATAGATGGACATGATACCTTTTCTCAAATTCATTTTTATGTGGTGCTGAGGATGGAACCCAGTGCCCCACACATGCTAGGCGAGTGCTTACCACTGACCTGCAGCCCCAGCCCCCAGGCAGGTTTTAAATGGTCACTCTACCTTCGAATAGCTGCCAGGTCCACCAGGACTCAATCCTTGTTTTCTCCTGGTTAGACCTGGAGCTTGACAGGGCAAGGTGACAGAGTGACAAATCTGGGGCACAAGTGGCCCAGAACCGGCATGGGCCCTGTCTGCATTGACCTTGACCTCACCTGTTGCTCTGTGGTCCAGCAGTGACTCTGGGTAGAGCAGAGGGCACAGAGCAGGCTTCGCAGTGGCAGCTCCCAGAGTGGCCTCTGGGTGACAATAGGGCCACGCCTGGTCCTTGGACACTCCTGCTCCCCTCTGACACCACACACATGCAGACACCACCTCCCGGGTAAGGAGCGGGCAGAGGTGCCGGGCTGGCCCCGGGGACCCCTTCCTTGCCCAGGACTATGGTGTTGTTTGTTTGTTCAAGCTGATAAAGTCGGATTTTCTGGACTCGGGCCGGGGACAAGCAAAGCACATTGTTCTGCCAGCTTTTCTTGGATGGGTTTGGAGCTGCGTCCAGGGCTGGGAGGGGGACGCAGGAGAGTTGGCTTCTCTCTGTCGCCTTGCTCCCCGCCCTGGCTTCCTAGTCGCAGGTTCCCCAGGGATCGGGCTGGGCAAGTGTCATGTCCAGGCTCAGGGCTGTTGCTGTGCGCCCTCTTGGCGCCGCTGCCTTGGGGACCTCTGCAGCTCCGGCTGTGGTGATTCTGCTGACTGCTGCGAGGCCTCGCTGAGAACTGAATCTTTCACGCCCTGCGAGGGCAGACCTGCTCACGGTGTGACGCAGAGCCGAAGCTCTAAGAGATCATGCCCCTTGCCCAGAGCATGCCACTTGGCCGAGGGAGAGCCAAGAGTTGACCCTAGTGACAGAGATGCATGTGTGGTGGCATCATCAGTGACAAAAGACTTTTGAACCTGGTTCCAAACTTCCTGGAGCCACCTGGTGAAGGTGGAAGGGCCACTCATGTGTCCCTTACTCCCTCATCCAGTACCTTTTTTTTTTTTTCAAAAGTTTATTTATTAATTTTTTTTGAATGCTTCTTTTTTTTTTTTTTTTTACTTTTTTTATTAGTTGTTGTTCAAAACATTACAAAGCTCTTGACATATCATATTCCATACATTTGATTCAAGCAGATTATGAACTCCCATTTTTACCCCGTATACATATTGCAGATTCACATCGGTTCCACATCCACTTTTTTACATACTGCCATACTAGTGTCTGTTGTATTCTGCTGCCCTTCCTATCCTCTACTATCCCCCCTCCCCTCCCCTCTCATCCAGGACCTTGAGCTCTGCAGACAAGGGCCTCCCCAGGTCACAGGGCAGCAAGCGCTAGAGCCCCAGAGCCGAGGACAGCTGGTGCTGTCAGCACACCGTGGAGGGCAGGGGCCCCTTTTGGTGTATGGCGGACGTGACGAGGTCCAGGAACGCTGCTGGACAAAGCGGGGTTGAGGTGGATCGCAGTGAGGCCACTGTTGTGTTCAAGCTTAATCCTTGGGGCCTGGCAGAGGGACTTTTGTCCTTGGCACTACTGAGAGTGTGGACCAGAGGGTCTTGCTGTGGGGCCCCCGCGGCGTTGCCCTCTGTTCCCGCTCTGCTGTCCCCAGCTCCTCAGTCAGGTGATGCCATACTTCGGGGACACCACCATGCTTCTGTTCAGACTGACGAGGGGTGAGCTGAGCCTCAGGTCCCCCTGCAGCATGGGACATAGACACATCCCAGGGCTCCTCAGCAGAGGAGCCCAGGTGCTTAGCACAGCTATGGAGTTGGGTGGAGGCTCAGCCGAACCTTCCATGGCCACCCTGCTGTGCTGCCAGGCCAAGGGGTGGGGTGGGGGCGCCGTCCTGCGGCCCTCCTCATTCCTCCCCTGCCCCCAGGTGCCGTGCTACTCCTATGGGCAGAAGCTGTCCAAGCTGGCCATCCTGAGGATCGCCTGTAACTACATCCTGTCCTTGGCCCGCCTGGCAGACCTCGACTACAGTGCCGACCACAGCAACCTCAGCTTCTCCGAGTGTGTGCAGCGCTGCACCCGCACCCTGCAGGCCGAGGGACGTGCCAAGAAGCGCAAGGTAGGCGCCAGCCGCAGGGCACAGCCCCCGGGGAGGGCGGGCCCAGGGGCAAGAACTCTGGGGCCCCACATATGCCCAGGGTTCCCATGGGGCAGACGATCAAGCCGGCTCTAGGGATCCCCCACCTGGGACTGTGGGTGGGACCATCCTCTGGTGATGGAGATGCCGGGTGGCCTTGGACTATCACCTGGGGTGTCTGGGCCTGAGTTCTCGTTCCTCACTTGAGGAAGACTGTTTGTCCTGGAGCCCCTGTGACATGTGTCCTGAGTTTCCGGCAGCCCTGCTAGATGCCAGTTGTACTGGGAGGAGATCCCCCAAGCAGGTCACAGCCCAGGGACCCTCTGCTGACCTCGGGAGTGGGACTGGCCTGTGGGTGCTCTGAGGCTGTGCATGTGGGCCAGCGATACTCATCCACGCGTTCTGGGGAGGTTTACTGTGTTGACCAAGCTAGGAGGGTACCAGGGTGACCAGTGTGGGGTCCTGGTTCCCATGCAGCTCACAGGACAGCTGGTAGACCTGCTGCAAGTGGGTGAGGGCGGCACAGTGTGGCCTGTCCTGGGGGCCCAGGAAGACCAGGGAGAGTGGGGCCCTTCCCAAGGGAGCTCCAGAGGACATCCCAGTGGAAGTGGCGTTTGAGCTGGGGTCGTGGGGACAACTCGGAGGCCACCAGGCAGATGCAGTGGGGAACAGGACTGGGGCAGAGGGAGTGCCTGTGTGGGGCTTGACGTGTTGGGAGATCTGCAGGAGGTGAGCCGCTGGCTGGCACAGCTCTGGTTTCCCAGATGGCCTGGACCCTCCACCATCTGGGTCCTATCCCCTGTGCTGGAGGGGGTCAGAGAGTGGACCCAGTGTGTCTGCGAGGAGATGCCCTTCTGCTGGCCTGCGCCTCCCCCAGGCCCTGCAGGCAGCCCCCTCTGGATCCCTCAGTTTCCAGAGGCTTCTGGGTCCAGCAGGAAGTCCTCAAGGACTCCCAGGCCCCCAGCTGTCCCCCAGGTGATTGTAGGCTGCATCCCGAGTTGATTTCACATGGGCTGATTAGAAAGGAGCCTTCAAGTGCGTGAGGGAGGAAGCCCAGAGCCTCTCCCCTGGGCAAGCAGGTGGCGTGGGCACTGTGAGCTCTGGGTGCTCAGCCCGGCATTCAGACGTCCCAGAGCTGTGGATGGGCAGCACAGGCAGCACAGGCAGCGCAGCGGGCCCTCTCTCCCCTGGCCCCTCACCTCCTGGAGCCATGGGGTCCTGGGCAGATGGAGGCTGGATGTCCAGGGATGAGGGAAGATGCCCAGCAGACCTGGGCATGGTTGCCCCTGGAATCGCCTCAGCTCTAAGATCCTCAGAGACCCCCATGCTGCTCACTGAGAGATTGAGGTGGCGGGTGATGGTTCAGTGCACCTGGAAGTCCTGGCTCTGGTCCTAGCAGTTGGATTTGTTTCCTGGCCCTGCCAGCGTCCCTGTTCTCCCCTGTTCTCCACGGGGATGTTGGGAATGCTCGCCTGCGGCCACGTTGCAGATGAGGCCCGCCTTCCCGCGTGCGGGGTGTCTGGCAGGAGGGGGCCAGTGCACACGCTCCCTCCACCCTCCGGCCTTGGCCCTGCTGCCCTTGGGTCCCAGCGGGATCTCTTCCCCTCTGTCTCCTCGCCTCCCCAACCCTGGTTTGGGGGCTGGAGCTGCACCAGGCCTGAGGTCCTCCTGCCTCCTGGTGAGTCTCCCGGCTCTGAGGAGGTGCCGGCTGACTGTGGGGAGGGGTGCAACTGTCTTGGCCCTGGCCTTTGAGGTCCCAGGCTGAGATTGCGTCCACAGTGACACATCTCCTCTGTGAAAGACCCCAGGGCCCCCTGCTGACCTGGCCCGCCTCGGGGCTGCTGGCTGTAACGGGTGCCTTCCCAGACCCCATCCTCTCACAGTTGAGATCTGACCCCACAGCCCTCCCAGGGTGGCTGTTTCTGTGTCCAGAGTCGGATTCCTTCCCAGCAGGACCCTGGTGGCCCCTGGAGCCTTTGGGCTCTCAGCCACCATTTCAGGCCCATGACCACCTTCTGGGTACCGAAGTCCCAACTGCCAGTTGTCACCCTCTCTGCCTCCCTCTATGTCCCTGGGCTGGCTTGCTGTCCCCTTCACCCTGCACCTTGGGGACATGTGTACCACTCTGAAGCCCCAGGCTCACTGGAGAGCCATTCTGGGCAGAGGTCTGCTCTGGGTGGAGGACTTGGAGCGAGGGGCCTGGAGCTGTGGAGGGTGTTCTGTCCCGGTGGCCCTGGCCTCCCCACACGGGGCTGCTGTGGCCTGACAGGAGCCCATCGTCTGTGTCCTGGGTGTGAGTGGCTTCATTTCCCTCCTCTGTGGCCACCCATCCGACCCCTACCCTGTGTGGGGAGCCATGGGGTCTTTCCCCCTCATGTGAGGGGCGGCTTCTGTGGGAAGCTGTGCAGAGGTGGGGTGAGGGGCGGAGCACCTGGAGGCAGGATAAGATGCCATCAGGCCATGCCCCAGGGAGGCCTGACACCCTCCTCCTGCCCGGCACCCTCTCAGCTGGTGTCCACCCCCAGAGGGCAAGATGTGCGGGTCTTCCAGCTCCCCAGGCACCTCCCTCTCTCCCGTGGCAGCCAAGAGGACCCTCCTGTGCCAGGCACAGTGGGGATGGGAGTTTGCCACATGCTTTGTGCCACCCAGTGGCTGTGGACACTAGGGCCTGGTGTGTCTGGGAACCAGGAGTGGCCGGGGTGAGAGAAAGGGAAAGCCAACGGGAGAGTTGCTGCTCCTCACACAGGCAGTCAGGGCTGTCAGGAAAGGTGACGGGGTGGCCCAGGTGGCCGGAGGAAGGGGAGGTCCCTGGCGCCCTGCTGGGCCTGCAGGGGAGGGGGAGCCAGACGAGACCCTTCCTCCAGGGGCCTGCTCTGCCTCTCTGGTCTGGATCAGCCTGGGGTCTCCCGTCACCCTGGCCTTGGGCAGGCCCTGGGACAGAGTCCTGGCCCTGCCGGCTGTTGACACTGAGCTCCGGCTTCTCTGCGAGGCTGTCCTTATGGCCTCCTGGAGCTGCAAGGGCATCTCCTATCTTTCCCTGGAGACTCCCACGGGCTGGCTTATCCCTGTCCCTTTCCGCCAGAGCCACGCCATGAGCCGGGGGCCCACAGTGCATCTGTGTTGGCACCGAGCTCGTGAGAGTGCGCGAGGAGGGCGACAGCCTGTCTCAATCCGCTTTCTAAGGCTGTGACGGAATGCCGTGGGCTGGGTGGTTTATAGAGAACTGAGGTTTATTGAGCTCAGGCTCTGCAGCCAGGTGTTCAGGAGGCAGTGCTTGCAGCTGTGAGGCCTCAGGCCACCGCCTAACCTGGCCAGAGTCACCAAGGCAAGATCCCAAGCCTGCCACATGGCCCTGCTTCCCTCAGAAGGCCACTGACACCATCGCTGGCCACCCTGATGACCTCGTAGCTGCAAATCCACACCCACGAGTGTGGGGACGGGGCGTGTCTTCCCCCTGGGGGGGGTTCTCTCCCTCTGGGCCTCCCAGGACGCCAACTCGGGTCAGAGCCCTGTTGGAGGCCCCTGTGGTCAGAGGCTGCCCAGCAGAGACGGCGGGAGGAGAGGTGGCCTGGAAAGCAGGGGTGCCCAGAGACATGCAGCTTGCACAGGCCCCGGGCAGGTCCCCGCAGCCACTCCTGGGGCGTCTGAGGATGAGGGCAGCAGGCGAGACTTGCTCCCCACATCTAGGCTGCCCGGACTTGGGATGGGAGGGGACCGGCATCCTGCTGCCCAGGACACCCCTGTCCACGCGCTGAGGCCACTACAGAACCACAGCGTTGCTGCTGGCCTCCTGGCATGCACGCGTTGAGCCCTGGCCACAAACTGTCACCACATCCCTGCCCTGGAGTTGCCCATGGGCCTGGGCAGGGTGGGGGCAGGACGAGCCATGAGGCGAAGGTTGTGCCAGGGCTGAACAGCGAGGGACTCGGGTGCCTACCAGCCTGGGGTCCTCGGGGCCGGAGGTGTGTACTCAACCCGTGGCATCTGCAGCTGGTGGCCAGCGGGTCAGCTTGGTCACACTAAGTCTCCTCTCTGCTCCCTGCTGCTCTCCTTGGTGACTGGAGAGGTGGCCTGAGTGTTTGGAGAACGTCTGGGGACAGGCCAGGTGCTGCATCAGGGCACGTTGGTCATGGAGCCAGGGGTCAGAGTCGGGGGTGCTTGAAGGCCTATCCTTTCTGTACTTTTCCTGGCCCTGAGGGTGGGAGGCAGAACCACTACCGTCCAGCCTGGCCTCTGCTTCTGTGGGGTAAGGAATGCTCCTGGTGCTGTCTCTGGACCTTGTGGTGAGTGGCCTTCCTGCGCTGCCTCTTGCTGGGGCTCAGCCCCTCTTTCTGCCTTAGGGACAGGCCTCTGTCACTTCACTTCTGGCACCACGGGTGCTACATATGGGGTCCACTGCCCTGTGGATGCAGTGACACCTGATATCCAGGACCAGGACCAGCCAGGCTCTCCGTGTGCCTCACTGACCCCTCCAGCCTCCCAGAGGAGATGGTGGACGGAGGCCGGGAGCCTGGGAATGTGCCTGGGTCACCCAGCCAGCAGGTGCGGGCCTGCCTCCCACGTGGACACGGTGGGTAGGAGGGTCTCCTTCCCAAGTCCTGTGGGGAGGGATTGAGCTGAACCCCACTTGCTCAAGATGCCCACAAGGCTGTGCAGCAAGGAGGGTCGGAGACTCCATCCCATGCCCTCTGGTCATAAAACCTGGATGCTCAGCAGGGCTTGCTCAGCCTGGGCGGGGTATCAGCCAAGAGCTCAGGTGAGCAGGGCCCTCTCCGGGGCCACCCTGGGGGGGAGGCTGGGGTGCTGCCCCTGCTGCAGTCAGGTCCCCACCGTCTCCCCAGGGCTGGGTGGGAGTGGAAGCCCATTGGGCATGGGAGGCCCCTCTGCTGCCCCTGTACCACTCTCAGGATCCCGGAGCGCGGAGCGCGGGCACCTCTGTGAGCCAGGTTCCCCTCTGGAGGCCACAGGCTCGGTAGCACTGGGCCTGGTATGCTGGAGAGGGCTGCCTATGGGGTGGGAGCTGGTTCCAGAGAGCCCTGGGGTTCTTCAGATCTCTGGAGCACTCAAGGGACATGAGCCTACACCAGGAGGCCCTCTGCAGAATCAGGAGACAAAGGAACCGCAGAGCCATGGGTCCAGACAGCTGCACTGCAGTCTCAGCACTGGCACTTCTTGCTGTGTGACCTTGGGCCTGTTAGTGAACTCTCTGACCCGGCTCTCATCTGTGAAGTGGGAGTGCACACATACACCTTCCTTGCCACACTATGAGAGGACTGAAGGAGGTCCACACAAGGAAGGGCTGGGAAGGCTCAGTGAATTTCTGGAAATTCAGGCAGAACCCAGGAGGGTAGGCCTGGAGGGGGACAGGTGCTGACCAGCCAGGAGGCAATGAGGACTGAGGTTCTGAGTGGAGGCTGCGTCTTCTCTAGCACTGCAGCGCTAACCTGTGCTGCCCTGTAAGTGGGGCTAAGGTGCCGTGTTCTCAAGGCCCTGACTGCAAGGGCCTGGGTTCCAGTGTGTGCTGGAGGCCTCGGGTCTCCTGGGCTCCAAGATCCGGCTCCTCTGCTCCTGGGCCTGTGCCCGGGAGGTCCCAGCACATGCCCACCCTTATGTAAGCAGCCCCAGGCGGCTCGGAGACTCGGTGGCTAGGCGCCGGAGCCAGCAGCCCAGGCGGCGGAGGGGTGGGCGAGGCATCCGCGATCGGCACCCCCCAGGGCTGGGCCGCCAGCGAGGCCTGACACCGGGTCGGTCACCCGGCGGGCGGCCTGGGCTGCAGCTGGGGCCTGGCTCGGCTGGGCCTGTGGTTTTGATTAGCGGGGCTGCGAGGCGGCTGCCGGGCGGGGAGCTGGGAACAGCGGGTCCCCCGCCCCCCGCAGCCCAGACTCCAGATGTTCCAACGCTGGCTGGGAAGGCCTGCTGGCGCCACGGAGGGCAGAGGGCAGGGGAAAGCACGCGAGCTGGAAGCCCAGGCCCTCCGTCACCGCGGCCTTGGCAGCCTGCCCGGCCTGCGCTGGCACATTCCCCAGCTCTCCCCGGCCATCTGTTCCCAGAAAGCCGTTCAGAGCCGTCGTCACTCAGCGTCCAGCAGCGCGAGCAGCTGGTTTGGAGCAGCAGGGAAAACCGTGCAAAAGGTCCTTTGTGAGCCCAGGCTGCTGGGGAGCCGTGGGCGGCGTCCTCCGGGCGCCCACTCCCCTGCGCTGGCTCTGATTTCTGCTCTAACCCTCTTCTTTCTCTCTCACGCCAGGTGTGACTCCCTCCTCCCTGGTGGCAGGGCCACCTTGTCGTTCTGCTGCTTGCTGCCTGGCTCCCCCTCCTTTTCCTCAGAGCTGGTGGAAGGGCTGGGTGTCCTCAGAGCTGGGCTGGAGGGGACGGGCAGGTCAGAATGTGCCTGCTGATGGCCACGGTGGGGCTGCCCATCGGGGCCGAGGTCCTGGAAAGCAGCGTGGTGGCAGATGTGTCCACCCAGCACCCTGACCCCCCCCACACAGGGGGGCTGAGGTGGGGAGGTGCGGCCCCCACTGGCCCCCAGAGAATGGCCGCCTGCACGGACACAGAGGCCACGGCTGATTGCAGCATGACACGGAGCCTTTTTTAAGACCCAGCTCTGCCACTGTCGCCAGCACTCCTGGGAACCTGGCCTGGAGTCTGGGCACCTCCCGGGCAGCCATGGGCTGTCTGTCCTGGCTCCAGGGTCCTGGGCAGGGCTGGCAGCTGGGAGCTGGCCTGGGGGTCCAGGTCCAGTGCAGGGGGAGGCTCCTGGTGCTGGAGGTGGGTGGGCACAGGCGGGGCATGGCCGGGCTCCCCTCCTCCTCAGCCCCTGCCCCTCTCTGCCCCTGGCCGCTCCCCACCATCCGCTCCCCCTACCCCAGGAGTGCAGGAAGCGCCCTGTGCTCAGGCCCATGCCCACTCCTGCCTGCTCTCTGCTCCCAGGTCCACCTGGGGGCCCAGCAGCCCTGCATGTCCAAATGTTTATGTTTAGCACAACCTCAGGCTGAGGGTCTTGCCGCCATGGGCCCAAGCAGCCTCTGGGCTTAGTCTGCAGTGGCTCTCAGCAGTGCCCGGGGCAGGTGCCTGGCCCCAGGGTCCTAACCTCAGGGGCCCTGTTCACTCCTTGAGGGTTGTTCAGCCAGCTCCTGGGGCTGCCCAGGGACCAGTGGCTCAAAGCATGGACTGTGAGCTCACTGGGCTGTCTATGCCTGCTCCTTGAGAAGCTGGTCTCCACGGGCCTCAGGGAGGAGGACCTGGGAGAGGAGTGGCCATGGCCTCCAGACCCTGGGACAGCATAGTGCTGGCCTGGTGACACAAAGTCGCATTCCAGTCCTGAGGTTTTCAGGGATATGGCATGGTGAAAGGACAGGGCTGCCTCCCCTGGAGCCTGGAGCCCCTACCTGGTGGTGGGAGGCCCTACTGCCCAGTCTTCCAGCTGGCCTCTCCTATAGCCTGCCCCAGCCCACTGGGGAGCACCCTAGAGGCCAAGTAGCTGTGCATCCCCCTGCAGGGCCCTCCACTCTTCCCAGGACACAGGCCACTGATCCCCCTGACCCCCACCCGAAGTTCTGCTGAGGGGCTCCTGCCCCACGCGTCTGCTTAGGGTCCCTAAGCAGGCGCGATGGGGCCAGACTTCTTGGGACACCTGACAGTCCCCTGAGCGACCTGCCCCAGCTGGTCACTCCTGTGTCCCAGTTTACCCTCCAGCCACTCCGAGGTCCTTGCCCAGAGGGGCTATTTTGGGCCTCTGTGCTCGTCGCCCCATCTGTCTGTGAATTCCTGCTCCTCCTGGGAGGTGCGGCTCCTCCTGGAAGCCCTCCCTGACCCTGTGGCTCCCTCCCTGACCACACAGGGCCAGTGGGCCTCAGCACGGTGGTGTATGGGCCTAGCGGGGGCCAGGGGGGGGGACTGGGGTTCAACAGGGGGACTTGGGATCAGCACAGGGGTGTGTGGGTCCACTAGGGAGGACTTGGGGTCAGCACAGGGATCCAGCAGGAGGACTTGGGGTCAGCACAGGGTCCAGTGGGGGGACTTGGGGTTGGCACAGGGGTCCAGCAAGGGGGACTTGGGGTCGGCACAGGGGTGTGCAGGATCTAGCAAGGGGACTTGAGGTCAGCACAGACGTCCAGTGGGGGGACCTGCGGTGGGCACAGGGTCCGGTGGGCCCCAGTGGAAGGGACGTGTGTGGTGGCGTGTGTGTGCTATGAGACCCTCTCTCCCGGAGCTCACTGTGCGTTCCGACGTTGTCCTGGGATTCTCACGTGGCCTGTTCCACGGTACTGCCTGCTGGTGGCTCAGTGCACCAGTGACCCCTGTCCTCCCACTGCAGCCCCCGGTCCCTGTGCTGAAGGCAAGGCTGTAGGGGATTGTTAGGGGTGTCACCCAGTCAAAAAGTCCCCAGGCCCCCTGCTTGTCCCTTGTTCCTTTGAATTAGCAAAAAAAAAAAAAAAAAAAACCTGTTTCAAATAACAAACCCTGAGCACCAGCTGAGTCTACCGGGGGCCCACACACCTCATAGTTCAGAAACCTGAAGGGAGAGGCTTCACCCTGAGCTCCGAGGCCTCAGGCCTCTCCTGCTCTGCCTAGTGACTGCACAGTGGCTGCCAAAGTACTGGGGCTTTCATCTTCCAGGGACATCCAGAATCAGGGTGGGGCCTTGCTGGGAGGAGCATTTCCTTTCTCCAGAGCATGAGTCCTGCACAGATATTCCTGGTCTTCCCTGAAGAAGGGATGCTGCCCTTGAACCTGAGAGAAACAGCCCAGGAGAGCAGGTAAAGCAGCCACGAAGCTCACCCCCGAGGGTGGCCCTGATACAACAGGTGGTGGTCTTTCCCCCCTGCCAGCTGCTCAGTCCCCACCAGCCTTCTCTCATTGCCTGTGTCAAGGTCACAGGATCAGGTGGCCAGGTCTGGCCTCTGCACTGTGCTTTACAGACTACAGAGTGCCCATGCCTGTCGATTTCTCAGGCCACACCTCCTGGGCATGCTAGTTACCAGGGGCAGGAGAAGTGTTGAGGTCACAGAGTCACAGGGCTGGGCACGGTCACCCCTTGTCTCCTCTCTTGAAGGCCCGGCCCGAGCCTCTCGGCTGTCCTATCGGGGTCCGGTGGCCTCAGGTGCAGCCTTCCGGGTAGAGGAGGCTCCAGGAACAGCTGCTGGCCAGCCCTGGAGGGGGCTGCGGTGGTGGGGGGGGGATGTATTCTCCCCTCTGTTGACCTACACAGCAGATTCCAGACTTGCCCTCACCCCCTGGCTGCCCGTGTGGCCAGTAGAGGGCTGGGCCTGCCTCTGCGGCCTGCCAAGGGACCCTGTAGGTCAGCGTGAGCCAGCAAGTGAGCGTGGCGTCCTCAAGAAGTGGCAGCTCTGAGCACTACTCCCTCACTCTGTCCCTGGGCCCTGGGAGGACCTTGGGGGCACAGGGGCGGGGGCAGGCGGGAGGACCGCTAGTCACAGCACAGTACTTCAGCAGGGGGGGCCATGGGAGGGACCAGGACAGTGCTCTCCAGCAGGAGCTGGGGGTTGGGCTGGAGCAGGCCCTCACCGTCCTGGCTGGGACAGCAGGGACCTCACCACATGCCTGTGGGCAGGGCCTCCAGTCAGGCTCGGGGACAGCGTGGGAAGTGTGGGTGCTCAGTGGCCGAATCTCAGCACAGGAGGTTGCAGCTACTGACCCTCAGCCCCAGCCCCATCTGAGTGGCATTTGGACCTCCAGCTAGGGTTGTTCCTCTGTCACCTGACCCGGAGCTTTGGCCACATGCCTTGGCCTCAGTAAGTGAGGAGTTTCACTGCTGGGCACGTCCCAGGTGGGGACCCTCCATGGGGACTGGGCTGCCCCTGCTTTGCACGCTGTTCACAGCTCACCCACGCTGAGGTGCGTCTCAGCACTTCCCTGGGGTGACCGTGCCACATCTTGCTTACCCACTCGTGGGTTCCTGGGTACCACCTGCGGCCTTTTTAAAACTGTGGGTTTTATTTATTTTGAACCCAGGGGTGCTTAATCACTGAGCCACGAACCTGGCCCTTTTTATATTTTTATTTTGAGACAGGGTCTCGCTGAGTTGCTGAGCCTGGCTTTGAACTCTCAATCCTCCTGCCTCAGCCTCCTGAGCTGCTGGGATTAAAGGTGTGGCCACTGCACCTGGGTTAAAGCTGTATTCATGTTTTTAAAAAGACTTGGTTGAAAGCCAACTGGTGGAGGAAGGTCCAGTTCTCTACTTCACGGCACACCAGGCCCCCACACCAAGTCACACCAGGGTGTGACTTGACCATCGTAGATGTATTTGCCGCTGACCGGGGAGCACTCCTGCCGGGCCTGTTTTAAACATGAGAAACCAGGCTTGGTTGGAGAGGCCAGCAGCCTGCCCAGGGCCCCGAAGCTGCCTCTTGGACCACGAGCGGCATTCAGCGCCAACCTGAACCTCTCTGTGGCCCAGTTGTGGCTGTGCTGAGGTGGAGGCGGAAGGACCTTCAGTGCTCCCGAGCCATCCCCATGCCCTCCCTGATTTTCTATTGGGTTTTAGTTGTAAGATCTCCTTTGAGATCTGACTGCTCTTTTGGGACAGACCAATTAAAAAAAAGAAGAAGACTCAGGGTTTCTGGCCCTGGGTGTTTTCCAGCATACACAGGCTGACTCCAGATTGAGATGGGTGGAGCGAACAGGGGACAGGTTACATCACATGGGAGACAGGACAACTAGTTTTTAAATGCCCACAAAGTGGTGGAATTGCCTGCGATGCACAGACCAGGTGGAGGGGAGCAGCACATCTACGCCCCACCTGGGCGAGCCCACGGTGGTGAGGGATCAGCAGGACAGGGACAGCGCACAGCGTGCAGAATGCTCCAGTGCACAGGTGGGTCCAGGCTTCCTGGGTGAAGGCCTATCGCTTGGCTGGCTGGGGTCCAGGCTCAGCCATGCGGCGGCTGACAGTTGACTTTAGCAGCAGGACTGTGTCCTGAAGAGCACCTTCCTGCCTGTCCTCACTGCAGGACTTTCCAGAGCCTTCCCTGTGATATTATGCCTGGTGACCGCCCAAGATGGGCAGGGGTCCGTGGTGCCCAGACGTGTGGGATGCCCCCTGGCTGGCGATCTGCAGTTCACTCTCCCACTCCCTCCAGCTGTGCAAGGAGGGCATTAATGCACAGAGAAGGGGAGTGG